TTAAAATACCCAAAGACATCATGGAGGTTTATATAACTGTACAGCTAAGACACTTGATTTTATATTTTATTTCCTCAGAGAGTAGCCATTCAGGGTTGTAAACTACCTAAATGCTAAAACAAACAGCAACAACAACGAAAAAAACCAGCAAAAAACAAGAACAATTACCTGTTGATGTTGCTTGTGCTCCATTGAACCTCATCCTATTCAACTCATTTTTATTCATTTTCACCACAATCTGAATGCTTAATTATCTACCAGTTCATTCAAATTTACGTAACTCAAAGTGAGACCAAAATAAATTTAATAGCAATGTGTTTTTGTTACTAACAAAATTATAGTGAACATCTGAATTTTTACATCCTATAAAACTGAAATGTCTAGAAGTTTAAAAGTTTTCCAAAGACCCATTTGGAAAGTCTAGAAAAGTCTAGTCCTATTAAGTTCACTAACTCAAATTATTCTTTGAGAAAGAGAGGACATCCAAATAGGAAAGAAAAATGGAATTGTCACTCTTGCTGATGACATGATCTTATGCAGTCAGGTCTCCATATCCCTGGGTTCCTATCCATGATTCAGACATGGATCAAAACATTTTTTAAAAAATATATATATGTATATATAAATTATTTCTAAGCTTGAGTCTGTACTAAACATACACACATTTTTATCATTTTTCTCTAAACAACAAAGTATAACAATTATTAACATTGTACTAGATATATGTAATTTAAGATGATTTAAAGTATTCAGGAAGATATACATAAGTTATTGGCAAATACCATCCCTTTTTAAAAAGTTTCACTGGGGATTAAACCCAGGACCCTCACAGAGTTACAGCTCTTTTTTCCCCCTCACTGGGCTCCAATCTGTGATTCTCCTGCCTCAGCCTACTAGGATACTGGGATAATAGGCATGTGCTCCCACACCTGGCTTATAACATGTTATTTTATTCAGAGTTTTAAGCAACCAGGGGTTTTGGTATCCATGGTGATCCTGGAACCAAGGTGGATCCCACAGAATTAGTAGAACTAATAAATGAATTCAGCAAAATTTCGGGATTCAAAATCAGCATACAGAATCAGCAGTGATTCTACATGCTAACAATGAACTACCTTAAATCAAGAAAATAGTCACAATAGCCACGAAGATAAAATACTTAATGAAAAATTTAACCAAGAGGTGAAAGATCTATAGACAGAAACCTATAAAATATTAATGAAAGAAATAAATGGAGATGAATACATGGAAAGATATCTCATGTTCATAGACCAAGAGTGAATATTGTTCAAATGTTCATACTACAGATTCAATGCAGCTCCACTAAAATTTCAATGACATTTTTCACAGAAATAGAAGAAGCAATCCTAAAATTAATATTGACTCGCGAAACAAAAACAAAAGCAAAATACAAACAAAAACAGCCAAGGCAGTCTTGAGCAAAAAGAACAAAGCTAGCAGTATCGCAGGATCTGATTTCAAACTATGTTACAAAGCTATGATAGTTAAAATAGCATAGTAATGGCATAAAGATAGACATGCATACCATTGGAACAGATCAGAGCACCCAGAAAAAAAATCTACGTATTTAATAAATGCCAATAGATTTTTGACAAAAGTTCTAAGAATGAACAATGGGATAAAGGATAATCTGTTCAATAAAGGATATTTAGGAAACTGGATAGCCTTATGCAAAAGAATGAGATTGGACCCTTATACCATGTGCAAAAATAAATTTAAATGGATTAAAGTCTTAAATGTAAGTCTTAAAATTATAAAACTGCTAGAAGAAAACAGGGGAAACTACACAACATTGACCTTACCAGTGGTGGGGAATCTATGACACTTGTGTTATTAGTTTTTCTTTTAAGATGAAAGATGTTGATATATGAGGGTTTTTTTTTTTTTTTGACACTTGTGTTATTAGTTTTTCTTTTAAGATGAAAGATGTTGATATATGAGGGTTTTTTTTTTTTTCTAAACTAAGCCTCAGTATTCTGATTTAATTGCAGTGTGGGCACTTTGCAATAAATAAGTGGATTTTGGGTTACTGTTTGGGCGCTCCTCTCTAAAAGTTCACCATCACTGTTCTAGGCAATACTTTGTTTGAATTTGACCCCCAAAATTTAAGCAACCAAAGCAAGAATAGACAAAAAGATTACAACACAGTGAAGAGTTTCTACACAGCAAAAAAAATGGACAGAATGAAGACACAAGCTATGACTTGGGAGAAAATATATGCAAGTCATACATCTGGTAATATCCAAAACATATAAACCCTAACAACTTAGCAAATAACCTGAGTCTAAAATGGGCAAAGGACCTGAATAAACATGGGTTAAAAAAGATTTACAAATGGCCAACAGGTATATGAAAAAGCCTCAATACCACAAATCGTTAGGGAAATGAACATTAAAACCATGATAAAGCATGTCCTCACATCTCTCAGAATGACTATTATCAAAAAGATAAAACACAAGTGTTGGCAAGGATGTAGGGAAAGTGAAACTTTTTTACACTATTAGTGGGAATATAAATCAATACACCCATTATGGAAAACTTTATGGAGGTTCCTCAGAAACTAAACATAGGGCTAAATGTGCAGCTTCATGGCTAGCATGCATCCACACCCTAGATTCAGTTCTCACCCCCAACACACACATAAAAAGTAGTATTACATATGATCCAGAAATCCTACTTCTAAGTATATATCCAAAGGATTTCAAATTCCTATGTTGAAGAGATATCTGCACTCCTGGGTTCATTACAGCGCTATTCACAACAACCAAGTTATAGAACCAATTTAGTGTTTATCAGTGGTTGACTTCATAATGAAAATGTGATACATCTGCACAATGGAATACAATTCAGTCTTAAAAAAGAAAGAAATTTTGTCATTTGCAACAACATGTATGAATCTAGAAGACATTATTCTTAGTTTTTAAAAAAGCCAGGCACAAAAAGACAAATACCACATGGTCTCACATATATGTGCGAGGTAAAACAAAGTCACAGAAGCAGAAAGTAGAACTGTGGTCACCAGTTTCTTGGTATAGGAAGAATGAAGTGTTGGTTAAAGACTACAGAGTTTCAGTTAGACAGAAAGAATAGATGTTTTTGAGATCTACAGCACATACTGGTGACCGTAGTTAATACAACTGTATTTAACAATTCAAAATTGCTGACAGTAAATTTCAAATGTGTTCAACCCAGAAAATAAGTATTTGAGGTGATGGATATGTTAATTAGCTTGATTTAATAATTTTACATTACATCTATCATACCATCACTTTGAATCTCATAAAACTATGCAGGTATAATTTGTTGATATGTAATACAATTTTTAAAAGACAAAATGATCCTGATAAAGCATGGCCTCTCTCTAAAAAGGAAATCACCATAAGCATGTAATCTCTTTCCCCACCTAGAGGTCAAAGAGTAAAACAATCTCTCCAAGATACTTCCTTCCCAGCATTGTTAAATCTTCTAAACTGTATAAAATATACTATTTACCTCCATACTGTAATTCCCATAACACTTTTTCTTTTCATTTGTTATTGCAGTCTATCTTAAATTGTAGTTATTTGTGGAGAAGTCCCATCCCCTTTCAGTCGTGGGGTATCTGAGAGACAGGTCTGTATCTCACCCTTCCCACGCCTACCCTTTATTTTTATCTTCCATAGCCCCAAACTCGAAGTTTTGCACTGAGGAAAATGAAGGAAAGAAAGATTGGATGGACAAACGCTAATCTGAAGATAGATCCTCAGTCTTCCCTATTTGTTCTTGGTTGTTTAAGAAAGCATGGCAATCATGAGAAGATGTATTTGGCAGGGGGATGAGGCAAAGTGGGGGAGACACATGGAAAGAATATGACCTTGGAGACCTCATTCTTGCATTTTCCAAGTCTAGTTCCACCACTCACTAGTCAAGAAATCTTTGGTAAATGGATTACTTTTTCTTAGCCTTGTTTGCCTTTTCTCTTACGTAAAGATAACAATACCTGTCTTGCCAAGGTGGCTGAACATTATGTTATATGACCCAAGAGAAAGTGCTTTGCTTTTATAACAGGTAAAAAACAACTATGATGATTGTTCCTGAGAAAAGAAAGTACTTGCTCAGAGAAAGAAGGAAAATCCAGAATTCCCAGCCTGGCTCTACCACAAGCTGGACCTGATATACAACTATGAGTGAGTCACTTACCCTCTCTGGGTCTCCCTTTTCCCATTAGCAAATCTGAAAAGTTGTGTGTATGATCTTTGCGGACTTCTCCAGCTCTGTGATTTAGAAAATAAATGTTTAACATATCAGTGCAGCGTCATTGTATGTTGAGGTGGAAGAAATCCATAATTACTCTTTTTCTTTTATAATAGCAGCACAGTGGACAAACTTACAGCTACCACTACTTCTGAGTATTGTTTCACTCTATAGAAAACAAGAATCCAATTTTTTAAAAATCTACCCATCACTCAGAGAAAAGTACTTCGTTGCCTTTATATACGATACCAGTCATTAAACATGTCTTCAATATACTTTTGCTGAATGAATGAATGAATGAATAATGCTTTAGTAAATGTTTGCAAAAGTTCCAAGAGTAATAATTCACCTTCCTTCTAGGTTGGATTCTTTATAGACAGCTAGCTTAGCTTTTTTTTTCCTACCAAAATTGGCTTGAGTCACTGATATGATTCATAACTTTGAAAAACAGGTTGAACCTGAAATTACCCTGGCAGGAAATGAGCTAAGGAGCACAGATCAAGGGAAAAGAAGAGGGCTTCTGTCAAAAAAAATAAAAGATAATTCCCCATTTCATTTTCTAGTTCCTGATATAAAATGAGGAAATGTCAACAAGCAGCTCTAGGCTTCTGTCTCTGATTATGTTGGTTGAAATAGTAAAAGCAAATGTAAAGTACAGAGCAATTAAATCCCCAGGATTCCAAAGGCACATTTTTCAGGTGTGGCTGTCCTCCACACCCCGCCCCCAAATGAGTCACCCACGGAGGTTCACAGAGGAGGATGAGTTGACATTTCCTGGGTGGGCGAGAAAGGTGCCTGCCAGGCTTCAAAGGAATCGGGTCAGGCCTTGACCCACACGCAGAAAAATCATCAACGTCAGATGGAGACAGGCTGAAATGATTTTCAGAGGGGAGAAGATGATCCAGCACAGCCAGCTCTGCTGGTAGCCTTTAAAAATGGGGCAAAGTGACAGGCAGCATGGGGAGGGGGCACCTGACCATGGAAGAAAGCGAAGACATGTTTGAAGAAGGATCCCCAAAGGTAAGAAAGAGAGTGGTTTCATTTCCTTCTTCTCCATATTCTCTCTGTAACCCGAGCTTCCAGTAATATCTGACATATTGTTAGGAAGGCACTTTACATTTTCCTGAGCTATTTTCCCATGGATAAAGGCATCACATGATCTGATTGGTTGGTTCATCAGTCCATAAAATAATCAATCTAGGAAAGTCAGAAGATACTCGGGTAAAATAGAATACAAGTCAACAAGAGGGGCTGATTCCAGACCTCAGTTAATACAAGGACGTTTCCTGGTGCCTACCTTTCGGCATGGGTAAGGAGGTCTCCTCCCTGGTACTGAGGCTTGAGGGAGCTCACTCTCAGCCCTCTAGCCATACCTGAAGGGCAAACCTGTTTGGAGCTCCTGCCCTCATTCTAGATTATACTTCAGGTACTCAAAAATTCCCTTCTCAAATGACCCCAAGTCCTCTTGCAGGCCTGCATTAGTCCCCTCTTTGGAAATGGCAGACAGAACAGCTAGAGTGCCCATCTCACCCTGTGATGGATGAACAGCTGTTGGGAAGTGGTGGAAGATGGATAGATCTTGTGTGTGCAAGGGTAGGGTGTGCCCACATGTCCCACATCCCCCAAGGTCTCTACAGCATGTGTTGGAACCCATGGTAAGAAGAGTGGGGCTAGACGTGGGGTGAGGACTAGGGCAGCATCTTCATATTATCACGTGTCAGTGGATAGATAGATAGATAGATAGATAGATAGATAGATAGATAGAGCAAAATAGAAGATAGATAAATGGGAAGTAAGGAGATCTTTTTCAAATGGATGAGAGAATAAGAGATAAAGGGAGGAAGAAAGAAGGGGAGAGAAAAGGGATGAAAAAAGAAAAGAATTGAAGGGGAAAAGTGATGAAAATAAAGCTCTTGCAAATGAGAAGGGGACCAAGAGTGGGAAGGAGAAAGGAGGAGGGGAGGGGAAGGGGAAGGGAGTGGTAAAAAAGAGAAAAAATTAAGATGTATTATGTACATACACCAAGTCCCCACAATAACTGTAATCATTCTGTATGGCAAACATGTGCTAGTAAAATGATAAACAAATAAAAACATTAAGTAATCTGTGAATTCTAAACTGGACCATGCCTTCCAAGTACACTGAAAATGTTTTTGTCAATGTAAGGGGAAAGATTACACTTTGTTTAACAAGTCATTAGTTTGGTTTATGATTTTCAGACCTATGTCACATGAGCCTCCATTTTACTCCTGCCTGGACCCTGACTATTTCAGAAGTGGGGAGGACACATCACACATTTCTGACCAAGACTGGTTATTTACTGGTTTGATGGTGACAAAGTGATCCGAGTATGGTCAGTAGTGAAGGACTGTTTATTTGCTACATAACAACTTTTCTATCAAACAGATTGTTATGGTCTATATCCTAGACCAATATTTAACCTAGTATCAATAGGGAAAAGGGGTTATAGTTTTGGGTATAAAGGAAAATGAAGGTGACAGGTTGGATTACCATTTCAGGAAGTCACTCTAGTGACAGCTTCTCCTTTTATTTAAATTTCTAGACACTCTTCTTAAGTATCTTCATTAAAAGGTTTGATGAAGTTGAATATTTAACAAATTAATGAATTTTCTATATCTGAGTTTGTTTGAAAGAACACTATCAAAATATTTAAACAACTTTAATTCTAAAAATATTTTAACACATCTCAAAATGTGCGCTACTTATTACTATAGCAACAATCCTAAGCTGCTAAACTCACTCGTCTTGGTGCTCTACAAATCATCAAAGTATCAAGTTGACACCAAAGTCTTGTTAAATGCACACAGACATGGTGCTGTACAGAATTCTGCTTTGCGGTCTGGCTGTAACACTGGGAAGGGGTCTGGTTGCCAGGGAACCACATGGTCAAAGCCTATGACTTGTACTCTGGTCTGGACCACAACCACAGAAGACAGTATCCCGCACAATGCCAGTTCCCATCTATAAAAGTGTTTTGAAAGTTTGTGTTTAAAAGAACCAGAATACCTATTCCTTTCCTTAGCCTTACAAGACATACTTACTTAGGCTTTGTGGGTTCAATGAACCCTTCTGAGTTAGGCACCGTACTCTATGGTCTTATTGGTTGGGTCCTGCAAGGCATCGTGGTAAAAGAACATACTAAAAGGAATATGAGTTCACTCACTACCAGATGAGACTCCACAAATCAAGACTGTTCTTCCTCAGTGATAAACATCCTAGCCCAATCCACAGTCTCCACAAGCAGGGACCACTCTCATCCTTAAGGAATACATGTATACCAGGTGTCACCACAGGTGCATGCAGGCCAATGTTGTCCCTCACCCTGACCCCTACCAGGCATCATTGATTTCACCACCACTGGCTCTTTTTGCTCTTTACAGCATTCATTCCTTCAGGAAGCTGAGAAAAAGGGTCATCTAGCCACTGCAGATCCTGGATGATGAGTCAAGGCAACATCCATTCATCCATCCATCCATCATCCGTCCATCCATCCAGAAGGGTTGGAACATTTTGTTAATGTTCTCTGTTTAGCGGGGTATCATTTCAACTCCTCCAGGATACTCTCAGCATTGTATAAGACTCTTATCAAAATATTCATCTGTTTGTCTTTGTGTTTATTCACAAACACTGTGAGGTCAGCAATTGTAGCTACTTTGCAAATGACAAGTGAAATGAGCCTGCCACTTTGTGAGGGCTGTATAAATATTCCTTAAACTGAATTGAACCTCAAAAGTATAGGATAGGTCTGGGCATACATCTCACTTATAAATCATTTGGTAGACCTTGGTTCATTCTCCAAGGCTACACACACACACACACACACACACACACACACACATACAATTTTTTGTATGTATGTATGTTTAGGACAACAGCTGCTCGGGCATCTTTTTGACACGATGGCCAATGTCTACTTGCCTTCTTTTCAGTCCTCACTTGCCTTCCTAGTCCAACAATCTCATTGTGGTCAATGAGAAATCCCTTTATCACCTATCACTAACTTTGTTCTCCAGGTCTGGGCTCCCAGAGACTATGCAAGCTATTCTGGATGGTTAGGCTCCAAGCTATTCTTGGTGGCTATGATTTTAATACAGGTAGAGATTAGGGACATGAACAGGAAAGGAGGAGGAAGCACACTTCTGTTTCAGTATAGGAAGGAACTTAGCACATGTTACTTGCTCTGGAAGCCATTATTTTAATTGTAAGGGCTTTAGCTTTCCATGGCCCGATGGCGTTCCCTCACCTATCTGTGTCAGGCAAATGGAATCAGGAAAATTGAATATTGTAGAAGTTGAACAAAAGAATAGGACATGGAGGAAGGATGTTTATGTGTTCATTCTTAACTTCTATTCTGATGAAGTCATAATTAACTAAATTATAACTTTTTATCCTCTAATTCTACCTTTCCTTCTGGCATTTGGATTTGCAGGTGATATTATCCCAAACACTTCTTATGAAAGGAATGTGACCCGCCATGGCAAGTCAAATGGCCATCTTTGCCATTTGCAGAATTGTCATGACTTTTTTATAAGTCAGCCTATTTGACAGGGATACTTTGTGAGCCACTGACATAGAAAGTAAAAAGAATGTAGTCCTGGTCTCAGATAGCTAACAGTTTAATGTGGGAGAAAGATGCACGTAAGTCATCACAGCAAAGTTATTTAGCAAGTGTTGTGATGCAGTTGTTCTTGGGATAGAGGAATATTTGAAGTACAAAAAATAAATACACCCAATCAGACCAAGGGAGGAAGTATCAAAAAATGTTTCCAAGATTCATGCTTACACTAAATCTTGAAAGCCATGTGTGATGTAGAGGAGAGAAGAGAGTAGGGAACCCTGGGGAGAGGAATTAGTGGCTCAGAATGATGAAAACTTGATGAGTCCTGAGGGCTGCACATGTAGCAGGCTAGCAATAGTGGGAGGTCAGAGACACAAACGGTCTGGAGCCAGGTCAAGGAGGATCTGTGGTGCCTAAGCTCAGTGTAGAGGACCATAGATGGCCTTGGAAGATCCACTTTACCTTATGTTCCTCATTCGTTTCCTTCCCTTCTCTGTCTGGGACATAACAGACTCTCAAAAGATGTAAGTTGACTGGTTAGATAAATTCATTAAACCCTATTACCAGGAGGGGAATACTTTTTCTCAATGATAGAAACAACTTTTACTTACATGAACATATAGTTACTAAGGAATAAAGAATAATAATATAGAATACTAAAGACACTTTAAAGACTAAAATTCACAAATAATATAAAAAGCTTCAGTTTCCTCTTAGAGGCATTTTAAGGATACAGAGTGCCAGAGAGATGAAGTACTTTCCTGGTCTCATCAGGAAATATCTTTGAAGTTTAAAATGCTGTGTGAGAGTTCCTCAGAATTCCAATTCCACAGTGTCCCTTAGTTAAACTAAACAATTATTCTTTGTTTATCTGAAATTCAAATTCAACTGGATGCCCATATTTTATCTGGAAATCATATTTTACAGTCAAATAGGCTCAGGAAATACTGAGTTAAGTAGATTAAACTAATACCTTTTCTGCTGGTCTTCACAGCTCCCATATAGTGTGGATAATATATTTCTCTGAGAGGGATTTTAAATATGTTTTTTTCCCAAGTGTAGTTGAACAAAAATTCTTTTTTCCAATTAGCATCCTCCAAAAACTCATCTAAAGGGCAATTGTCCCCTTGTCTCTGGAGGCTTTGTGTCTACTTACTAAGTGCTATGGTTTGGACGAGTGTCCTTTTGTCCCCAGACTGGCACTACTGGGAGGCAGTAGAACCGTTAGGAGGCGGGACCTAGCGTGAAGTCCTTAGGTCTTTGGGACCACAGCCTCTACGGGGATGGTGGGGCTCCAGTCTCTTCTTTCTCTTTGCCTCCTGGTTTGTGACATGCGGTTTGCTCCACCACCTGCTCCTGCCATGAAATGCTGCCCTCAGCAAAGGCCAGTGGTGATGTCTCCATAACCATCTTGGACTGATGTCTCCAGAACCATGAGCCAAAATGAGCCTTTTCTCTTTATAAATTAGTAGCCTCCAGGGACTTATCATAGTGAAAGAAAGCTAATACCCTAAGTATTCTATGATTTTTTAATAGCTTTTAATTATCTCATCTTTCTATTTAATGTCATTAAATCTTTCCTTCTGAGAGAAAGTACAAAATCCTCAGCGTGAAACTTGGAGACTTCCCCAATCTGTGATCCACACTCCCAGCTCTCCCTCATACACAGGCCTGCCCGAGTATCTCCTCCAGTTCCTCACCTCCTTCTGAACATTCCATACTCTCTCAAAACACTATAGTCTTTGCACAGATTTCCTCCCTGGTTCCTTATCTTCTCAATGAACCATTAATCCCTTTTGATTGGTGAGTTCTGACTTTACTCTAAGCCCAGTCATTCATCTCTTCCTCTTCCCATGACTTGATACGTATGCCCATAGTATTTACCTCTCGGTGCATTATGGTTTAAGTCTAAAATGTACTCCAAAAGTCTCATGTTTTTGAAAGACCATTGGATCATGGGGTGCTATACTCATTGGTGGGTTAGTTCCCTGATGATTTCATTTTTTTGTTTTTTGGTTTTTTTTTTTTTTGGTTTTTTGGTTTTTCTCCGGTACCAGGAACCGAACTCACGACCTTGCGCTTGCCAGGCAGGCGCTTTGCCGCTTAGCTAAATCCCCAGCCCCAGTTCCCTGATGATTTCATAGCTGCATCAGTTAGGAGACAGGGTCTGGCCAGAGCTGGGTCATTGAGGTGCATCTAGGAAGGTTGGCTCTTCCTCCCCAGCTCCTCCCTTCACTCTCTGCTTCTTGGCTGCTTTAGGAGGAGCAGCTGTCCTCCACAACACAGTGTTGGCGAACCTATGGCATGTGTGCAACAGCCAGCTGTTTGTTATCATTGAAAGCTCTAAGAGGATCACCATCACTGATTGGCCCTTCTGCAATGCTGATTCAGCCTTGGAGCTATGGATTAAAACATGAGCCAAAATAAGTTTCTTCTCCTTACCATTGTGAGTGTTGGGCATTTTGTTACAAAAACTAAAAAGCAACTAAGAAACTGTGTTGTAGTTACTCATTTACAAGTCTGTCTCTCCCAATAAACTTTTCATGGACATAACTTTACCTCATTCATCAGGTGAGTCCTCACTCATAGCATGGTATTATGTCTGACTAACGACTGATGGATGAATGTATAATGAATGGAATGGGAATGTAGAAGAAATGAAATTATGTAGATTTATATTATACATAACTTAATAATCAAGGCTTTCATTACCTACAGTGTAACATATTAGAAGAGGTTCATTGACATCTAATTAACCTGTTTTCTTTTGAGCTAAAATATTATTAGTCCTACTTTAAGGGGCATGAAGATGGGCTAAGAGTGTAACCCAGTGATAAAGCACTTCCCTAGCATGCATGAGGTCCTGGGTTTGATCCCAGCACCACACACACACACATGCACACACACAGGAACAAGACATCAGAAGCCACACTCTGGTGGGGATAGGCTCTTTTTCACATATTTGTCTCTTCTTAACTGATTTTTTTTTTTTTACCATCTCTGGCAATAAATTAGAAACCATACCTGTTGATGTGCATGTTTGGCTCAGGTTCTATCATTAAAAGTATTCAAAGGAATTACTTCAAAACTCACAACTTCATAAATTCATCAAAAAATGGATTGAAAAGACAACCCACACCATGGAATGTATGATCTTTAATTCATTACCTGCAGACACACACAGGTAGATTGTCAATCTGGTATCTACAACCGCTCCCTCTGAAACTTGCTATCACACAAAATAAAAAGATTTATTTTTAAAATACATTTTCAACAAGTGAGAGAGGTTCATTTCTAAGTATATGAAAGTTGTTACTCCCTTTGTCAAGGCAACTTAGAAAAAGAGAGAATTAGAGACTGAGAAAAGCAAAAAGCAAGTAAGATAAGTGATTCCAAGTATCATACTCTAGATGGAGTAGAACCTCAAACAGATCTTGATAAACTGAGTTAGAACTACATGGAAACATAAATGTTTGTGTAATGAAGCAAAGAGCAAAAAAACTTGAAGTTAATGGAAAGTAAACATAGGAATTATGAAAGTACTACAGAATATATTCGGGATATGAGAACCATGATAAGCGGCCACGTGCGGTGGCACAGACCTATAATCCCAAGCACTCTGGGAGACTGAGGCAGGAAGATTGTAGGTTCAAGCCCAGTCTAAGCAACTTAATGAGACTTTGTCTAAAAATTAAAAACAAAAATGTGACAGAGATGTATCTCAGTGAAGAGGCCCTGAGTTCAATCCGCAATAACACACGTGTGTATGTGCACGCATGCACGCACATGCAAGCGCGTGCACACACACACACACATGAAAGTCTGGTGGTAAGTAGGTGGACATGAAGTCACCCAGAGCATGAAGGACCCATTGCTGTGGAGTGGAGGGAGGCTGCTCAGAAACACAGACCTAGAGGTCAAGCATGGACAGCTCTGTCCATTGCAAGCATCCATGTGACACTATATCCCTGGGGTCCTCGGAACCCTGACTTTGAGGAATAAATTGTTTTACAGCGTAAAATGAAAAAGAGGCTT